CCCTGTGTAATACAAAGGAATAGACAATATTATCATATATCACCAGTGTCAGCTCAAATTAATTCCCTTAGCTTGACAACTATTTTGAATGGATTCAGGAAAAAAGTAAGGTATGTGATAGAATTAATAGTATACATTGGCAGTTTAATTCTATTAGGGAGATAACTCATTATGATAATCTCATTTTTTCATACTATAGATCAAGATTAAAAAGTATTATTGAGAGAAGTTGCTTTAGGCAAAGCAAGGACGAAGCCAGGAAAACTGAGCTCATTACAACCTTCCCAAGTGGGTGTGTGCGTATCTACATACCTATTATCTACATCACACTCAGGATACAACACACCCTGGGCATTATAAAAAGCTATTTTTGTACTGCTATCCTGTAGATTTCAGCAGATAGCTTTGGAACATGCACTTTTACAGACAAATACTGGCATTTTTCCAACAAATAAAAACTGGCACTGCAAAGTTTTATCTGTGGATAGTAGTTGACAACTATTACCGTAGTGTCCTGTTACAGACACAGCACAGCAACTGCAGGAGAAACAGAGCCAGTACTTTCTGTGAATGCTACCATGCAAAAACAGACATACCTTTAAGCAGACTCCTAATGAAGTCACTGTAGGTTCAATAAGGGAGAAGCGAATGAACAAAACTTCTTCACTGATTTTTCTCAAAATCAGCTTAATGCAGTATAAATAAAAAGTGTTCCTTCCAAAGGTGAAGACACCTCCTTTAACATCTCAATTCAAGTTGCAGCTTGAGGGAAGTTTAAGATAACACCTCCTAACCTGTATGTCAAGAAGGTCGATAAACCAGCACGTTGAAATCTAACCTAAAAGGGTAGGTTTAGTTAGCAGACTAAAGGTATGGGAAAAATTGTTCTTTGGAGTATCAGCTTTTAATCTAAGGGTTAAACATGTATGCCTATCACAAGAAAAATCTCTTTGTTGGACATCAAAGCGCATACTGAGCTAACACTTAAGAAGAAAATAAAAATCCTATTGTGCTTAAACATATGGGGAGGCAAAAAAAAAAAAAAAAGAAAAAAAGAAAAAATTAGGTTATAAAATCACCCTGCTTCCCCCACACAAAAACCTTAGTTTTATGGCACTCGCTTTTCTGTACAGGACGTCTTTACATCTAATTAGCAACATTCTTGGTTTGTAGAAATTTGGTTATGATGCCACTGACTGTATGGCAGTACATGCTCAAATGAGATAACTGTTCTTTGAGCATATCACACTTGTTACCTAACTGGAAAAGGACTTGTAACAACTCTTCACGACCTGCTAAAACACCACTTTTAAGTATAAAGGAAAGAAACTTGGCAGGAGACAAAGTGGATGTTAAAACATAGTAAGTTCCTCACAACTTCATTGCCCTTATGATGAAAATAGATCTTGAAGCTTTCTATGGATGTCTAAGCATGCATCTTACTGAGAAAGGACATACTGTGGGTTTAAAGCATATTCATTACATCAAACATTTGCCTGAACAGCAGGAAATCTAATCCTTTTTCAGATGCCACAAATAGTTTATACATTCTAGGGCTCCGGCCTAACTTTTGCCAGTCCCTTCTACCTTTCTCTTTCCGTAAACTCCTGCTGGCCATAGGAAACTGGAATGCTATTTGCATGACACATGTTGATAGGCCAATTTACCAGAAAACAGGTCTCCAGTACACACCAGCATAGGAAGTCATCAACCTTATGATACATAACACAACAAGCAGGTTTCTTAATGCACTCAATTTTGACTGATCCTTTCAAATAGCTAAGAAACAGATTTGGACTGGTTCTCCAAAAGAGTTGTGGGTTTTTTTCTTCCTTTTTTGTATTTTGTTTGATTACTAAAATCTTCGTTTGTAAGGATGGGTCCTCACACAAATCTTAGAGAAGTACGTACCATATCAATCCTTGCATTTCATTACCTCACAGAGAAGGAGAGGCATGTTTGCTACGAAACATTGGTAAAGCTTCCCTGAAACACTGCCTCCTATCTGAGATAACATAATTAAAGAAAACACGGTCTGTTCGGAGAGTCTTCAGGGGAAGTCAAGAAGAAATGTTCAGACACATGAAAGAAGGACTAGAAAAAGTTCTTTTTTTTTTTTTTTTTTTTGTGTGTGTGTTTAATTTGTTCAAAATAAGTTACAGAATCATGGAAATGCAGGAGTTGGAAGGGTCCTCTAGAGATCATCAAGTCCAACCCCACTGGTAAAGCAGTGTCCCTACAGTAGGTCACACAGGTAGGCATCAAATCTTTAAAACATCCTTTTAAAAATGCTGCCTGAGTAAAATGAACTAATATTCATTCTCTCTCATAATCTAAGAGATGGGAATCCACATGTGAACCAAAAATTCAAAATTAAACTTAGAACCTTTCTCTGTGTAGTAGTTAATCTGTGAATCCTATTGGCCCCAGTTAAATAGCATGACAGCTTACCTAAATACACATGTATCAGTTACAAGCAATCTAAAGGTCTTCTAATGTTTCTGAAGGGATAATCTGTTAGCTAGGTTTAGTAGATGAGACAAGAACAGATTTGTATTTCATCTTGAAGCACTCAGTTTGAACTCTAGACTTTTTTATATTGAAAAACAATTAGATGAATTGTCTGGGAAGATATGGAAAGCCTTTAGGAGCCAGGAGTGCTGCAGTTTATCTGGAACCTGCTTGGATGAGTTTCTTTCTTTTAAGATGTTCCCTTGAATGTTTCCTTGTTTACTTACAGCAAGCACCAGACAGAATAATGCATGAATCGTTTAAGAATTGTCTCAAACAGTAGCTATTTTATTTACCAAGGGAGTATACTTAGGTACTCACTGCATTAACTGTCCATTAGTCAGTCAAACTGCTCAACCTCTGGTGAGCATTAAAGAATTCCAGAGATTTTGTTCACTGTTCAGTGCTTAAAGACAGATTTAGGAAGAACCTGGCTTTACACAAATGTTTTGTAGAGTCACCTACCTATCTCTGAAGAGATACAACAAAACTAAACTTGTGCTCTTTTCCTTATGATGTAGTGGACAGTTTCAATCTTTATGTTCTTAATGGGCTAAAAAATTATTCTTCCAAATTAAAGCAAAAATTGTCAAGCTTTCCCAATCTTTAGGACCTCAAAAAATCACTCTGCATATCACAATATGTAGTAAAGTCATAATAACCACACAATGTTTCCTAAAATTTGCTGCATTCTAATTTATTTAGTGAAAAAAAAAAAAAAAAAAAAAAGGTGTTTTTGCCAGAAAAAGAACATATGATAAAGGTTGTTTTTACTTTGTTCCTACTTGTTTAGATTCAAGAACTCACTTCACACTCCCTAGATCTTGGGCTACTATGTAGTGTACATCACAAATAAAGGAGGGCCAAGGAATCCTGTATCTACCAAGGGCTACAGAGAACTGTGTTTTATTTTTTGTCATCACACCCTCTGCTGGTGATTTTCTACACCAGTAGGAAAGTTAAAATACAGGAATGCCTATGCTTACAAGCAACGTACACAACTAATGGCCTCTTTTTAGGGTTTTACTACTAAGGACCCAGCATCCACATCCCATGCCATTCAGAAGATTTTACACTACACTCTATTTGCTATAATGGCCTGACTGCCATTAAACAGCTGGAATATATTTGGTGTACTGCCAGTGAGTGCTTTTCACTTCAATCTAATCCAAAAGAAATATCCAGTCCATGTGCTGCATGATTGCTCCATTTTGTGAGTGAGAACAACACTTAAATAGGTAATAACAGAATATTTCATTAAAAATAGCAAACTTCTGGTCTAAACCATGCCACACCATTAGTGGTATATTTTCTAGCTTTGATTCCCTTCCAGGATCTTTGCTCTTTATCGCTGTTCTGCCCTGAAAGTCATTCCACTGAAACAAGGCTGGATAAAAAAGCATAGCCTGCTCATCATTTCCTCAGGTTTGCTGAATTCCAGCAGCAGTATGAATGGATCCTGAGATACCTTCACAATAAGCTGAAGAAGGGAAGTGCCATCTACGCTAACAAAGCAAAAAAGCATATAGCTGGAGGGCAGATAGCCTAACAAAGCTCCACACCTTAATTTGCTCTGCCGCAAGCTGCTGTACTTTTTCATATGGTTTGTGCTTCTAGTATCACAGCCTAAATCATAACATTATTTAGTCTTTTGTAAGATTAGAAAGAGAGGGGAATAATCCAACCAGATCTCGCACTTGGCTCCACGTTTGGGGACTGCTCAGCCCAAGCACAAAGGCTCTTTATATCCCTGCACACCACACAGTACTCTGAGCTGGAGGGGACCCACGAGGCCCAGCGCAACCCAGGTCTGCAGTCCCAGGCCCCCACAGACAGACACACCTGCGGCTTTGTCTCCCAACCTTCCCCCGAGCTATTTCCTAAACAAAGAGCTTTTCAGGCATCAAGAAGTCAAAACCCGGCCACATGAACCATATCAAATCCTATTTCTCATAACTAAATTCCATTTAATCTATTCATGATCCCTCAATTCCTGTAAATGTTTTTCTTCTGATTTAAGGCAGCGCACCCACACACTCCAGTCCCCCCCTGCAGGAGCCATCAGCCTCTCCCGCAGCACATCCTTCTTCGGGAAGCCCAGGCCGCTCGCCCCGCAGCCTAGCTGGACACGGGCCCCGGCGAGGCCAGCGGCAACCTCGGCCATCGATGACTCGGCGCTCGCGCACCCCGCCTGTCCATCGCTAGCGCGGAACCCATCGAGGAGTCAGCGCCGGCACTGCAGCGCGACCTCCATGCCGACGACGCCATCTTGACGGCGGAGCACCCCAAGGCCCGAAGGGGGGCAGCCGCGCGCCCCTTTCCTCCCTCACGCCTCGCTGTGTACGCGTGCGCGTAGCGCCCGTCCCCTTCCTGCTGGGCACGTCACCGCGCGCGTGCCCGCGGCCGTTGCGGCGCCGGGTGCGGGCGTCGGCGCCGGGCATGGGCGGGCGGCGAGAGACCGTTGCTCGGTGTGACGCATGCGCGGCCGTTCCGCCCGCCCCCACGGCTCGGCCGTGCCGTTCCATGGGACGCGCGCGGTTGTTTTCTCCCTGCAGCCGGCGGGAGGCGGAGGAGGAAGATGCCGGGGAAACTGAAGGTCAAAATCGTGGCGGGGCGCCATTTGCCGGTGATGGATCGCGCTAGCGACTTGACCGACGCCTTTGTGGAGGTTTGCGGGAGAGGAAGGACGCCGGGACCCGGGACCAGGGGCGGGTGGGCTGCCCCCGTCTCGGGCCCGCACCTGCCGCCGGCCCCGCGGTGCAGAGGCACCTGCGCCCCCGCCGCGCTGCCCCGGGCCGCCGCCCCGCGGGGCGCCCCCTGCTGGCTGGGCGGTGCCGCCCCGCGGCGTGCGGCGGAGCGCTGCCCTCGGCGGGGCGGGCGGGCTCCGAGCGCGGCCCCCGTGCTGCGGCGTTGGGCCGCGTTCCGCAACGCCCGCGGGAACGGCGCGGACAGCCGTGTCGGCTGTGGTGTCTGTAGAGCGGCTTCTGGGATACGCTCGGGAGTGATTGTTAGTTGACAGCCCTGGGCAGCCCGAGTGTCCTTTCACCTGCTCTTTTCAGCCTTGGGCTGAAGGTTGTTAATGAGTGGCTCGTTATACGCCAGCCCAATGGAATCCGTTCCGGGATTCAGTAGATGCGTTGTAACAGAACGAAGCTGTCTTCGGAAGTGTTTTTAGGTCACTTATATCTCCGAATATAGGAAGTGGAGAGTGACTGTACAGGTCCTCTTTTAAGGCTCTTATGTATATTTTCAATTAAAAGTGTGTGAAAAGCTAGCATTTTCAAACGGAATTTTTATTGAGGACATACTTAATATAGTTTATATGCTTGAATTACACCAAAACTATCAAGTGCAAACATTTTTTTACTGTCATAGCTAACAGACCCATGCTGGTTCTTCATAGAATTACAGAACAGGTTGGGTGGAAGGGGCCTTGAAGCCCCTCCAGTTCCAACCCTATGCTGTGGGCAGGGCTGCCACCCACCAGCTTAGGCTGCCCAGAGCCCTATCCAACCTGGCTGTGAAAGAGATGGGGCACCCATAGCTTCTGTGGGCAGCAGTGCGAGTGCCTCACCACCCTCTGGGTAAAGAATTTCTTCCTAACATCCAACCTAAATCCTTCTCTCTTCTAGTTTAAAGAGTTCTTAGGAGGGGATTGAAAAATGAGCTGATGAGGACCTTTTGCTCAGCGGCTCTGTATCCATCACAAATAGCTCTAGAACAATTTCAGTAGCATTCCACAGTTTGAAAAGTCATAACTTCAGGAAAAGAGTTGTTCAGAAATGGAATCCTACACAAGTGTGTGCCTGTACTATAAATAGTCATTGAAGGTTGGCACAGTAATGGGATTCTAATAGGAAAAATGTCATTCAGGAACTGTACATGTTGAAAAACTGAAATCTCACCAGTAAGTTCGTCTTACAGATTCACTTGTGGTTTTAAATTTGATTAGTAGGCAGACTACAACACTTCTTGTGTAGGAAGACAAGAAACAGAGTAGGAAGTACAGCCCTGCTGTCAGTTGGCCGCTTCTATGCTGCCTTGGGAAAAAGCAGCCCTCTCCTCTCCTGTTGGTCACTTGTTCCCAACCCTGCACCTTCTTTCTCTACCATCCCTACCTGCAGTGTGAGCAGCTTTGTAGCAAGGCATATGTAGAAACACACCTGGCTAAATGTTAGCTCAACAAAAGAAAAAAGGGCAGTATTTTCAGCATTTGGTTTGGTTAGCTGTGTTAAGTAACGCTCAGCTTCAAGAATGTCTTGGCACAAATAAGGCTGAGGAAATTCGTAGATGAGGCCTTGCTTTTAGGGCCAGTACTTGGAAAACAAGTTCTGCGTGGGAAGTACCCTTTTCACACGAGGAGCAGTTACAGCTGCGGGCAGAACGTGTCAAAATGAGCTTAAAAGTGTCATTTTGTTTTTTGGCATAAGGTTGCTGAAAGCCTTTACAAAACCTTTTCATTTAAATAAAACTGACAAGTGGAAAGCATATTGAAGTGCTAATTGATTGCTAGCATTTAATTTCTTTCTTATATATTGTAATATAAATCTAGAACTAGAAAAGAAAATGATGAAAGGCTTCGAAGTGGTTACTTGTTTGAGGTTATGTATAATGTGGATTTAGCCAGCACGTGTGGTCTGGAACAAATTAGCACAGCTTCTTCTGCAGCTGTGCTGCTAAATTTGTACAATGGACAGCAGTGCAGGAGATTACCTCTCCTAGCTTTAATGATCTGGCTGGAATACTGGCTGAGTATCCTTAGTGCTGCCTGAGGCTCACAGGGAGCTCATTTACTCGTAAGATAGCATGTAAAATTAGGCTGGGTGGAGCTCTGTGCTGTTGTGTGTTGGCAGCTTCTGCATAAAGTAGCTCTGCTACACCAGTATAATTATCACTATTGTAGTGCTTTGTGTGATGAATACACCATCCAGATAGGTGTGCTGTTGTCTTTATGCTCTTAGTCTGAATCCACATTTTGATAGCTAGGTTATTTTTTTTTTATACTAACAGTGCTCTGCCTTGTGCTTTCCACTCCGACTTTTAATTTCAAAGCTTACTTTCAAAATAGGATGTTTTCCAAAAGCATTACTGTTCTTGAATCAAGTCCAGATCCTGAATAGAATTGTACAGAGTTCTGTTGCTTGAGGTGTGGTGATGTATACAGAGATCAGTGGGAACTTGTAGGTCAGTTTTGCAGTCCTTGAAGTTGTTCAAATTAACAGGCTGTACATAAGCAAGTACAGAACCTCTTTAGAATTAGGTTGCGCACCTGTGTAAAACAGTAATAGTGTTAAGAATTAAGACATCCTTAAAAAAGTGTTGAAGTGTTTTAAATGCAAGATAGCATTTGAAATCTGAGCCTAAATTGAATTTCCAGGATCTATTTAGACTTTCAAAAACCAAATTATATTCAAAATCTGTAGCTGCCTTTGTTTGCAGTATGTTTTTAAAATCAGCGCACAAGACTTCCTTAAGAAAGAATTCACAACCGTAATTTCCTGTACTTGTAGGTACCATCAGATATGTGGTAGGAGCTGAAATACTGAGTATTTTGAGAGGTACCATTCACAGAACTCCAAGGGTGTGTAGGGGTTTGGAATGAAAGCTACAGTAAAGTGAAGCCTCTTGGATTATGCAGCATGGCTTCTTGGTGCATAGACCAGCACAGAAATTCTGTTTGTGACATGGTCCTGAAATAGAATCCTGCAGAGGCCAAGTAGAGATTCCTGAGATGCACACCTTTAACTGCTTATTAGCCTTGATCAATAGAAATATGTAGAATATTTAATCTTCATTAACAGAAGATCAGAAGGGATATATAGATAGATAGTTCGCGCTGTCCTTGTTGCTGATTTGCCTTCTGGAATTTTCTGTAACAGGGGAGGACTAGAAACTGTGAAGGTGCTTGTCCTTGCTGCTGTGAATTCAGGGATGTGTGTTTGGCATAGTAAAACAGCAGGTCAATACAGTGTGTTTTAAGAAATAAGTTCACTAATTCTACCATTTTAATTCTGTATCTCATTTATAGCTTGTCAGTAAAATGATAAATGAATCCTAGAGAGAATGGTAATAGAACATAAAATATAAATGTTTATATAGAATAATCAAATTGCTGAGATGGTGTACTGAGTGACCACGAGTAATACAAAGTGATATTTTAACACTAAAGTGATGGAGAGGAAAAATAAATGATGGGAGAGGTCCGTTCCGCATATTGGTGATAATGTAACATTACATACTGATAGAATTACATCGGTTTACAAAGTAACTCTCCTTGAAAAGAATGTATTGATATTATTAAAATACATATTTGAAATTATTTTCAAGTAAAGATTTGATGAGTAACTCACTTTCTAAATTTATTCGTTAATGTTTATTTTTAATGATTGTTTGTATTCTTAGGTAAAATTTGGAAATACAACGTTTAAGACAGATGTATATCCAAAGTCACTCAATCCTCAGTGGAATTCTGAATGGTTTAAATTTGAAGTAAGTATTTTCTGAGAGTTTACCTGTGTCTGCATGGATGCCTTTGATGAAATAATACCACTTTAGGCAGAAAAATGTTTTGGGTAGTGAAAGTAATTCTGTTTAAATACATATGAAGCCATTCGGTAAATCTATTTATGGTCAAACTGTATTTGCCAATGGTATCTCATTGGCTTTTTTTTTTTAAGATTCTTTATAAAGAGAAAAACTTGGCACATGGGATGCAACTCAAGTGTTACGGCAGAGGTAAAAGCTTTATCCAGTAGGCCTTCAGGTATCAGTGTGGCTTTGCTCGTTTTCCTTTCTTTTTTCTTTTTTCTTTTTCTTTTTTATTTTTTAAGAGTAATTTTGAGTTGAGTAAGGTTAGCTGCTATTTGAACTGTTACTTTGGCTAGAGGAAGTGATGTACTCGACAAAGGAAACAGGATTTATGTAAGAAAATTAAAAAATGAAGTGTTTGCACAGCAGTTGCCTGATGCTTTCTTTCGCGTTTCCTTATGTAATAATGAGGACACTTGGCGTTCTCCCATAATTGCTTGTTCCTTTCAAGGATCTGATTAGTTCATTTTGATGGACTGAATACAGTAGTACTGTAGGTGTCCTTTGATATTGTGCCCTGAACTACTGCTTACATATTTATTTTTTGTTACTGCCTTTTTGTTACACTTAAAAAAAATAAATTGTGTAATGGTGTGTAGAATTAATTACTTGCTACAATATTTGGATGCGTAGTACTGATTTGTTTATAGTGTTCTAAGATAATATCTCAGTATAAACATGTTGGCAAATAGGTGTACGTGGAGTAGAGTGATGTTAGAGCAGGTATGAATCAGTAAGCTTAGGCAACTTATTGATGTGAAATCCTTGTAGAAGTACAGCTCATAATTGCAGTCCGTGTTTATTAAGAAAGCAGAACTACGATGTTGAAGTTCACTCCGTTCTCTTAGTTCTTTTTTTTTTTTTTTTTCTTAATTTTTTTCAGTTCCTTGGGTCTTTTTTTTCTTTTAGGAGGTAGAAGAAATTAGCTGAACTGTATGGAGAGTTAACTCTCTAGTTCAGAAAGAGCTTTTTTTGACAATAACGGAAGTCTTAAAATTCTCTCTTTCTGCATGGAAAAATGGATTTGGGAAAGGAAAGAGCCAAACAATAACATTGGAAAAAAAATAAGAATCAGAATTCCACATTTCAAGGAGTGGAAAAACACCAACTGCTTAAGAGATCGTAAGAGTGTGTGTGTAGTTTGACCTTCTAGCAACACTGTGTTGAAATTCTGCAAACGCTTACACCAGTCTTCCTATTAGGTTTAGCAGGACTGGTCCTTGCTTTGTGGTGTTCAGCACAAAAAGTAGGAGAATTTTATATCTCCAAAAAAAAAAAAAATAGCCAGTGTGTCTGAAGATGGATTATTGCATTCATTTAGGAAAGTGCATGTCTGAAATTAGGTAATTTTTGCTGTGAGTTGTATAAAGTATCTTGTATTCTTTCTAAGCCTCCGATCAGTGTTGAAATGGGAGAGCATAACTTCAGGGTGTCACAGTCCTCTGAGACTCTTTACGTTAAGTTTTCACATTTTATTATGAAAAATATATATATTATGGAGATGGGTAAATACTGTGGCTTAAAATAATGTGGAATTTTAAACTATGCAATCAGTGTAATCTTTTTTTTCTGTACTTCTCCCAGTGATAACTCTTGTTTCAGGTTTTCAGCATTTGATGAAGGTCAAAGTAAAAATAATGTGTTGTTTAGATCCAGGAAGTAGAAATTAGATTTATGTGTCATGTCTCTGTACATAACTGACTCACCTCTTACTGTGCTTGTTTTTCCAGCAGTGTTCCCCTGCTTTTTTTTTTTTTAAGTATTCAAATTCCATGTCAATATTTATTTCTAGGTAGACGATGAAGAGCTACAAGATGAGCCTCTCCAGATCACAGTTCTTGATCATGATACCTACAGCGCTAATGATGCTATTGGCAAAGTATACATTGATATCGATCCCTTGCTCTATAGTGAAGCAGCTACAGTTATTTCAGGATGGTTTCCAATTTATGATACCATCCATGGTAAGGTTTGCTAATTTTGTTGTTTTGCATTGTTGCTTTCTGTAAGCAGTCCTCAGAAATGTGTAATAATTTTAGCCTCAGGAGCTGGAAAGCTCCAATTTTGGTGCTTTTATCAGCTCTTCAGTAAGTTAAGAATGCCATCTAAAATCAGTGACAAAATACTTCTGGGACTTTTCATGTTTAATAGCAATAATGATCATATATGAAAGATGTCTAATGTTTCCAACATAAGAAAGTCTCAACTACTGTGCCAGAATCTTAAGGCTTGGCAGAATGCCTTTCATAAAATTTGTGACAAGTGGAAAACATCTTCTCATACTATTTAAAATAGTTGGTGGAAATAGTTACTGGAAAAATCAGTTAAAAAAAAACAACCCTAAAACATACTTATTACTTTGTGTTTACTAAATGAATGTATTTTTGCTGAAGTTACTTACGATGTGCCTTCCTGGGGTGTTGGATAAGCTTCATTTGAGATGATGGGGCAGGATATGACAAACATAAAATGCAGGGTGAAACTCCATTTCCCTGCCAGCAGTCCTAGACAGAGTTCTTCAGAGTATCTTGAGGGTATGAGAAAATGAAGTTAATGATACTTGTGCCTTAGATTTTAAAGAGGCAGAGCATCAATCCCAGAAAATTAAGGTCCATGTACAGCAAGTTGTCTTCTTGAATACCTTACTGCAGAGCATCTGTGTGGGTATTAGTACTGTCATAGTTTATTATACAGTGGGAATTAAAATGACTTAACTATTTTAAAACCTAATTGTATTTAATTGGCGGAAAAGCATTAGTATTATTTATTGGATGGTCATCATAACTAATGATAATTTTTTTTCTTGCTGCATTTTTAACAGTTACAGCGAAAAAGTGTCTTACAGAATATTGCATTTTTTTTTTTTTTAATTCTACTCCCATTTTCTTATTGGATGCTTTCTTTTGAACTCTTGACTTAAAATGTGTGCAACTTGTATGTTGGAGAATTAGACTTCCCTGTATTTTCTAGTTCTGTTGGTTTTTCACAGTTCTTTCTTCTACTTAGATAAAACAAAAATAAATTTCATGCTTGTAGCAGTAGATTTTAATTATCTCAATGCTTGGCAAACATTAATTAATGCTTTCTTAAAAGAAAATTGACATTTATCTATATTTATTTAATTTTTTTTCTTGCTTCCTAGTATGATTATGTGTGAAAATGTGCTGGTTTGATGTACTTCCTGCTACAGTAAATGTAGGCTTCTTTCTATTGGCATTTGGGAAGATAACTGTAGGTGACTTTACAGCAATAATGTCTGTCAGTCTGTGAATCTGATGATTTTTCTTAGTTGGATATTTCTGTCCTAAAGGCTTCTGAAGTCACTAGAGATCAGATTCACCAAGAAGTTTAGCCCTCAATGTGTCAGAATCCATAATAACATGATGTGAGAGGATTTAGATAGTAGGTGCAGGAAAAGGAGTAAGTTCAAAATAGGAGCAGAAAAATCCGAAAAGGAACAGCTACATTCTGAAGAAATCCAGTCCTATTAATAAGATTTAGTTGTAGCCAAAAGATTAAGCTTTACCTAATCTGTAGTACCTTATTTTATATATTTGTTCAGAAAATATTTTACATTACCTGCTTTCTGGTTCTCAGAAGAGCTGTAACTTTTCTCATTGTATTGATTTCAGCTTTACCATAATCTTGCTATTATTTGAGGGAGAAAATGTAAAATGCTCTAAACACCACAAAAAAACTTGATGTGAGCGGGACTAGTTTTGCGGTATCTATAATCCAAAGTAATCCTGCCTTTTTGTGCTGAGTGTGTCCTAGGACAATATCATGGAATTTACTACTTGATTTCTTGCCTTGCCAGCACCGATGATAGCAGCTCAAAGCAGCAAGCAGCCCTTGCTCCCTGCAGCTGGGCCCACTGCAATAGCAGGCGGCTGATGGCTTCTCTTTTCCCAGTACCACCCTTCTAAAGTCCTGTTTGTTGCAGCAGGCATTAATGATTGTTGCTTGTCTAGCTTCAGCCTCAAAGGCCGGGCAGAACTAGCAGCTTCCTGTGAGAGGGCATCTCTGTGGCACACTTGAAGGCAAGGAGATGCCATCCTGCTCCTCTGGCCCAAGCTAGAACTGACACATTAGCAGCCAGTTGAAGCAGGCAGTTCTGTTAGGATTGTATTAGATTACAGAATGGCTAGTTCTGTATTGTTTTTTAACACCATTTCATGTTTTCTTTTTGATAGGTATACGTGGGGAGATTAATGTGGTGGTGAAAGTAGATCTCTTCAATGATTTAAACAGATTCAGGCAGTCATCGTGTGGAGTAAAGTTTTTTTGCAGTAAGTAGAGGGAAAAAAAAGGAAAACCAAAGTTTTTTTTTTCCTTCTTTCTTTACTGACTCTGTTTCCCTCCACTTGCCAATTCATCGCATAAACCCACTGTGGATTATGTTGACAGCAATAGCAAATACAAAAAACATGTTTAGTTTGCTTCTTTTTTAATTTTTTTTTTTTTCATATATTTTCTTTTCACAAAGCAGTGTAGGTAGCTTCCTCTTTCCCTCATCTTTCTGATCATTACGTTACTTTCAGTGAATGTTCTGTTAAAGAGGCAAAAAGTCAAAAAGTTTCAGAATGTTACATGTTTTACAAGCATTGCAACCAGTACACTGGGCAATTACTGGCCTTACAGCATCTCTGGAACAAAATTGCCTCTGGTATGTCCACATTTTAACAGATCAATCTATTTGATATAGGAATGGAGCTTAACAGGAAAAAAAAAAGCGTGGATTACATTCTGGAATCACATCAGTGTCTAGATGTAATTTTCTATTAGTCTTTGAATTCATTTGTCTTAGACTCACACCTTGCATTTTTTTTATATTTCTTTAACAGCTACATCTATTCCGAAGTGTTACAGAGCAGTAATAATCCATGGATTTGTGGAAGAACTGGTAGTTAATGAAGACCCGGAATACCAATGGATAGACCGAATACGTACACCAAGAGCATCAAATGAGGCTAGACAAAGACTCATTTCTCTAATGTCAGGTATTAAACATGCAGGCTGCAATGGTTATTGCTGCTTTGTAAAAGAAGTCACCATTCAAATTAGTGGCTTAGCTTGGAAACAAGGTTGTGTTATAATTTTTGGTATTAAGCGTTTATTTTTTCAGTTCATATTATCTCATGTTTCAGAAGGTTCTGTTGTTCTAACTAATGACTAGTGTGACAGAAAGTCCACCCCACCCCTCTTGGGGATGCCATACTGCTATGCAATTTATTGGTTGTTTTTAACAAGGCTAAAAAAGAAATAGAACTCCCTTGAAGATGTTGTTTACCCATATGAAGAGTATTAGTGGTACTTCGAGTCTAATAAAGATAGCATAAACTGCCCTCTTTGTACTACATTGAAGCCCTCTTTGCACTACATTGAAGTATGTGAATTAGTATCTGTTGGCATGATCTCAGACATAGTGTACTAATACATACCTTATTCATCATCTTTTCTAAGTCATGATTTGTCTCCCATTTTGAGGAATGCTTCCATATTGCCTTGCAGCTCTTCAGGATATGCTTACAATTTTTGGACAGACTAGTCACTAGAGTTCCAATTTATATCTCCACAGTATCAGTTACCTTCACAGATTGTCTTTCTGTCTGTGTGGTATTAGAAACATGAGTACAGCCTGTGAGTCAAGGGTCCCCATCTCTGTGACAGTGGAGCAGAACAAATGAGTCCTGCACTAGAGATTAGAGGACTTGTACGCTAAGAGAGGAGACAACCAGTGCTGGAGGTGTAAGGAATACAATGAAATGTTGAAAAAATAATCATCAGAACAGTAGGCAGTGGCTTCAGTTCTGTAATAGGCACTTAATGTAATCAGATATCTTGTAAATACAACCAGTTTCAGGGCAGATACTAGAAGAAAAAGTAAATTTTGCTTTGCAAATGTATGTTTTGAAAAAAAATGAGATGTTTAGTAAAAGGGGCAACCTAAACAGAGTATGGAGGTGATACTCAGTATCTTCACTAAGAGAACCAGTAGATACTGTGGGAGTATGTGGAACAATATTGCCATAACTGACATGAATTATTAGAAATTTCATTAAAAATTTAATTCCTCTGGTTGCCATTTTAAAGGATTAACATTAGTAAATCCCTTTTCTTGCATAAGAGGTGAAAAATAAGTAAAAGAGCCCGTGTGGAAGTGTTCTGTTGTGTTTTATTACTATTCTCATTCATGGCAGTGTAAAGTACCAAAGAGGCCTCATAGTAACACTCTTATGCCATATAATGCAGTGCTTCATATTGCAGTCATTGATTTGTGTCTGAAGAATCCTGAGGAATTTTGTAACTTACAGTAACTGGGGTTTGCAGTCTTTGTGTGCAGTTCTTAGTTTGCAGTAGTAGTGTATTTGGAATTATGTTTTGCTTACTTTATGTCATACATTATTTTTTAGATGAGGTTACCAAGTAAAGTAATATAAATTTTAAAAGAACTAAAAGCAGGGATAAGGTTAAATGAAGTTAAATAGGTTTTGAGTGTTTGTGAATACAAAAGTAATAGATTTTCACAGGTGTTTCAAAGATGTTGCATTAGATTGAACTGTATGAAGGAGTGTCTATAATCTTTTGTGTGTTCCAGTACACATCTTGACCATCCCTTTCTCTGTCTCTGAATAAACAAAAAAGAGAACGGTTAATGAGAATTTAAAGTAAATAAATATATTACAAAATAACAAACTGCAGTTGCAATCAGAATAGATTTAGGGGAAAAGAGTGAAAACTAATGAAATATCACTCTGTGTTATAAGAAGAAGAGGTGCTTAATGTAATTATATAAAAACAGAACTATTACCTGTTTCTTTGATCTGCAGTTCCAAAATCATAGAGGACAAAGCCCACAATAGAAAACAGGAGAAGTTCACTGCAATTACCTATGAGCTTTTCACTTTTTGTGTTGTAGGTGAGCTGCAAAGGAAGATTGGCTTGAAAGTCCTTGAAATGAGAGGAAATGCTGTTGTTGGTTATTTGCAGTGTTTTGATTTGGAGGGAGAGTCTGGACTGGTAGTACGAGCCATAGGAACAGCCTGCACGTTGGATAAATTAAGTAGCACATCA